GCATAAATGGCAATGATTCTTTTTTCCCTTTTTCGTTGGGAAAGATAAATTAACGTGATTATATATATATATATAAATTAATATAATTAATAAATAATAATATAATATAATAAAATAATATAATTAAATTAATTACATTATATAAATTAACGAGATTATATATTTATATAATACGAGTTTAATATAACGAGTTTAGATATGTATATAGAACAGAGATTAAGTGGAAATTGAATTAATTGTAGAATTATTTAGAATTTCTTTTGGATCTATGTTTTTTTAATCTTCAAGAAGATTCGAGCGGAATCGAGAATTTGGAACGGAATTGGATATATTGTATGCAAGGGATCGTTTTCAATCGTGATTTCGTTGTAGAAACAGCATCACTTTCTTAACTATAATATATTTCCTTCGTTCAATAAAACCAATTTTAATCAATGGTAAATTTAATGCAATTAATTACCACTCCTTTGTCTATAATTTGGAATAGTGCAAAGTCTCACTTTTCTTTCTTTCCCCTGATTACAAATATCTTTGTATATACAAAATTTCACAAATTTCACAAATTCGAAACGAAAAATCGATAGTCAAACCGACGCAGAAACCCTTCAACAACCGCCATCCATATATATATATATATATATATATATACTCCCTCTCGTTTAACTTTGGTTACTCCAATGAAACGCGTGCAAACGTTGTTCGCAATAGAATTACATCCCCTGATAAAATGGTTAAAATTAAACCTTTAAAAAAAAAAAAAAAAGAGAAATCTGTTCGAAGAAAGAAAACTTTAAAACTCTTAAATAAAATAAATAAAAAAAAAGGGTGGACAAAAGGAGCGAGGAAGAGAGAGAGAGAGAGAGGAAAGAAAAATGGACGTGATCGAGGAGGATCACGCGATGGAGGGCGTGACCAAGCGTGTGGCGTCGAATCTCCGGATTTGCAAAATCTCTGCGAAGGGGTTGGTTTTAGTATCAACAGGTAGAAGTGGCGCGTCCTTGTCCCTACTGGATAAGCCGGCGGCTAAGCGCCGGCGCTGGCTAAACCGCTCGCACCCTCCCGAGGGTGTGACCTATCATCCCCATTGGACCAACCGGACGTGTGAAAAAGAGAGAGAGAGAGAGAGAGGCGCAGTCCTGCGCGGATAACCAGAAATTTCTTTCTTTCAAATTTCTTTTTTCTTTTTAATTTATCGTCACGATAGATACGAATATTCTTCTTATCTCGTTCAATCGTTCATTCATCGTCGTTGACACATTGTAATCGATAAATTGCTCGACGCGACTCGAAAAGATAGAAGTTTTTATCGAGTTTTAAGTTAAGCAGTTTGTGGTGCTTGT